ACGGGGCTGCTGCCAGCCTGCACTGATAGAGAGGCAGCAGTGTGGGGTGGCAAGGGGCTCCCTGGGAATGGGTCCAGAGCATACTGGTTACCAGCCCCGCCCCAGGGACTGTAGAATAGTCATGTAACTAATAATATTTTATGCAGTTACACATCTATTCAATTACAAGCTATCTAACATCTCTATTGAGAACTAAGAACCACTCAGTACCTATCTTTTTTCCAAATATTACTATTATTATTTATTATATTTATTTGAATTGTGGAACACCTACAAGGGGAGCAATGCTAGGTAAGACATTGACATTTTCATGACCCCTTTGGTTGCATTCTTTGAAGTGCTTCCAGTTCCACACAGAGGGCGAGTTAGCCAGGCAGGATTGCAGAATCTCAATGTGTGGATTTCAGTTAATTAGGAATTGGAAAAAGGAGGAGTATCTACTGGAAGGTTGGATTTCACCTAAACCAAAACAGAACTTAATTGCTGGCATGTAAGTTTTAGAACTTTTTTTGAGCTCAGTGTCAAAGGAAAGCTGATGGGTGTGGAAAAAAGTATGCAGTTCAGACAGAGAAATGGGTTAAGAAAGGATTTATTAAAGGATATACTCTGTATCCTAGTAAAGAAGAAAGAATGGAAGTTTATATGGTACAGGTGGGAGTACAGAGAAACAGTCAAATGAGAATGAGTCCCATTCAGCTACATCTCATGAACGAACTATTGACACATTTCATAAGTGCTTGTATAAAAAGGCTAAAAGTCTACAAGGAGTAACGGTAGTTTGAATTAGAGATCCTAATTCGAACTACCTACTCCCTGCCGCGTGTAGCCGTGGGCACGGAGTTCCGACTAAGGGACATTTAAAAATGGCGGCGCCTGGGAAGATGCAAATGAAGCCCGGGATATTTAAATCCCGGGCTTCATTTGCAACTTCGAATGCCTACATTAGCCTCCTTAGTTCGAACTAGGGGGCTAGTGTAGACATACCCATAGAACCCTGATGGGCCACAGATTGCCCACCGCTGCTCCAGAGGCAATCTGAGCAATTAGAAGATGGTAAACCTAACTTCAGTGCCAGGCAAATTAGTTGAATCTATAGTAAAGAACAGAATTATCAGACTCAAAGAGGAACATGTTATATTAAGGAAGAGTTAATATATCTTTTGGAAAGATAAATAATGTCTCAATCCATTAGAATTCTTTGAGAGTGTCAGCAAGCTTGTAAACAAGGCTGATCCAGTGGATATAGTGCACTTAAACTTTCAGAAAGTGTGCACAACATCCAACAACAAAGGCTCCTCAGAAAAAAATGGAATAACGGAATAAGAGGAAAGGTCCTCAAATGGGTCAGTAAATGGTTAAAATATAGGAATCAAAGGGTAGGAATAAATGTCTAGTATTCACAGTGGAGGGAAGTAAATAGTGAGGTCCCCCAAGGACCATCTCATTGCCAGGGATTGTTGTGAAAGTCAAAGGTATAACTGGGCTCAAGCAAAGAATTATACAAGTTCATGGACAATAGGATCATCAGTGGCTATTAGCCAAGATATTCATGGATGCAACCCCAAACTCTAGGTGTTCCTAAAACTCTCTCTGCCAAAATCTGGGAGTGGCAGACAGAATGAATCACTCAATAATTGCCCTGTTCTGTATATTACTTCTGAAGCATCTGGCATTGGCCCTTGTCAGATGATTGGATACTGGACTAAATGGACCATTGGTCTGACCCAGAGTGGCCATTCTTAAGATAGCTTTGCACTGTTTTCAAGTAGGTATGTGAACAGGTGACTGGTTAGCTGCTGGCAGCGACAGCCCCACACAAGCCTATGAGTGGGGAGCCCCATGGGCTGGAGCTTAGTCAGTTAACATTAGGTTAACTTAACATTTAACTGGCTTAGCCAGTTAACTGATTAATTGGGATTTTGCATCCCTAGTTTCTAGAGAGAGGCAGGATTATTTGCCTCCAAAACCAGGTTTTAAATAACATTAATGATAAAAAACAGGTCTGGCCAAAGAAGCTTTATTTATATTAGGACTCCTTCTGGAACTGATAGTAGCATGGGTCGGGTAATTTTTGTAAAATTCCCTAGTATAGACAAAGGTATATCTTTTATCTCTTAGGGTATGTCTACACTGCGCGACTATTTTGGGATATTAGAAGTATCCTGAAATAGCTATCCCATGTCTTAACAAGCCACCCATTATTTTGAAATATTTTTCAAAATAACAGGCATGCTATTTTGGCATCCCTGTAACCCTCGTTCCACATAGCACAAACTGCGTATCTAATTTTGAGTATAGGCTGCTGTGTAGACACACCCTTAGTTATCCTTCAAAACTGTGCTCTGGAATGGGGCATTGATTCATGCTTTCTCTCCCATGCACCCCACAGCTTGCATGTTGTGCAGTTCTTGCATGTTCTATCGGTAAGTAGGATCGATTTGTTTAGCATTGATTACAAACTGTGATAGAGTTACCAACAAATGATCTGGTAGCACTTTATAGATTAACAAAACATGTAGATGGTATCATGAGCTTTCATGGGCACAGCCCACTTTTTCAGATGACTGGAGTTTTGAGTTTAGGATGTGCAGACCCAAGATAAATAGGAGAGAAGGGGAGAAGGGAAGGAAAAAAAAAGGAGAGGAGTAGGAGACAGGGAGCAGAGGGTATGGAAAATCAAAGGGAAAAACAGGAAGGCAGAGCTGGGAATCAGTAAGCACCTAAAGATTGGGTATCTTATCACAATCTACAGTACACTGAATTGTCAGATTTAGTTTTAGTTTTGTAATGTTTCAGTGAAATCTTTAAAACAAGCAAGTTTCTAAAGAAAAGTTCAATAACTTTAAAGCTTTGAACATTCTGAAGCTGCAGGCCCAGAGACTGAGACAAACCAATATTCTTAACCAACTCTATTTGATTACTTAAAATGGAATGGAAAAGTTCCAATTTTTTCCTCCTTGCCCCCTCCCCCCACCCGCTTCTCTCCCTTTTATTTTGGATTTGCACATCCTAAACTCAAAGCTCCAGTCATCTGAAGAAGTGGGCTGTGCCCACGAAAGCTCATGATTCCATATACATGTTTTGTTAGTCTATAAGGTGCTACGAGACCATTTGTTGTTTTTTTCTGTACAGGCTAACTCATCTACCCCCTGAAGCTTATGATAGAATTAACATCTATTGGCATGGTGGGTGGCAACAAAGTATATAATAGTCACAGTAAAGGAACATAATTGAAAATACAAAAATTTAGAAGTTCCAAGAATAACATTTTATTGTTGTATTGATGATAATAGGCTAAGAATAAAAAAGTAGGATTTTAAAAGGTTCAGGACCTTCAGGGAACTTATTCCAGATGGTGGGGATAGTATGGCAAGACGCAGAGCAAGGACAAACAGTAATCTCATGCTTAAGTCCTTTTGGGAAATGGCTTGATGACTAGGAAATGCGGATGGTAACACTGGGAATGTAACCAGAGAATTATCTACTCAACATAGAATTGCTTCATGTTGGTAAAATGTTTAACCACTTAGCCATAAACATAATGCATAGTAAGTACTTATGGAACAACTTTGATGTTTCCTATATTATTTCCCTGTATAACTACATGCTAGGTTCAGAACTGTTAAGTTGAACAGATAGCTAGTGTGTGTAACCAAGTACTGTATTCTTATTACTGTTGCTCTTCTCTGTCCGCCTCACTTTCTATTGTTTGATACCAATCTGTGGTGTATTAAATTATACCCAATCCTGCAATAATTTCTGACTGCAGTATTGTTAACTTTTGTAATTTTATTGCAATGTTGATCTGTTTTCTTTAAATTCCAGCTCTCGTAGTCATGTGATACATGAGCCTTTCAGCTTGCTTTTTTAAATCTAAGTAATTTTCTGCTTCTCTTGTTTGGTGAAGAAAATTTGACTTATGATAAAACAATAGGAGTGGGCATCACTGGTAACCTGTTGTGAATCACTTATGGTCTACGTGTTCTTGAAAAGTAGGGAGGAATCAGTGAAAATTGCTTAGCATTTCTTAAAATCTCAGTCTACAGATATATGCATGTATGGACTGAGCCGTCAATCAATGAATCTCATCTTCTATGACTCCATTGGTGAGTGACTGAACCAATCCTCGTATCAGCAAATGTGATTACAGATGTCACATAAAAATCCACCATCTGTGGGTGTTGTAATTCTTTTCAGATCTTGCACTTTTCTTGTAATTTCTGGATATGTTGATTCTCAAAGTGTTTGAGAACCTGTTACAATAGTTTGCCAACAAAATAGAATAATAGCATCATAGAACTGGAAGGGACTTCAAGAGGTCATCAAGTCTAGTTTCTTGCCCTCACAGCAGGACGAAGCACTGTCTAGATCATTCCTCATAGATGTCTATCCAACCTGCTCTTAAATATCTCCAGTGATGGAGATTCCACAGCCTCCCTACGGAATTTATTCCAGTGTTTAACCACCCTGACAGTTAAGAAGTTTTTCCTGATGTCCAGCCTAAATCTCCCTTGCTGCAATTTAAGCCCATTGCGTCTTGTCCTATAATTAAAGGCCAAGGAGAGCAATTTTTCTCCCTCTTCCTTGTAACAACCTTTTAGATATGTGAAAACTGCTGTCATGTCACCATGTCCCCACTCAGTCTTCTCTTTCCTAAACTAAACAAGCCCAATTCTTTCAGTCTTCCCTCATAGGTCATGTGTTCTAGACCAGGGGTTCCCAAACTTTTTGACATGGGGACCAGTAAATCCATTCACAAACTTTTGGAGGACTTGCAATGTTCATTTGCATATTTGCATATTCATTAATCAAATTATGAATAATCAAATAAGTTGTTTCTGGTCCTCCCAAAACCCCCAGTGCCGTGATATGATCACCCACAATATTCTTGCCTGCAAGTTAAGGAATATGGATTGGATAAATGGACTGTAAGACAGACAGAAAGCTGGTTAGACCAGGGTTTTCCAAACTTTTTACTTTAGTTGGAACCCTTTTTTTTCAGTACTGTTTTTTGCAGCCCAAAAATATGAACACATAAAAAACAAACTGAGAAAATACCAGACATATAACATGTCTGGTATTTTCTCATTAGGTAAGTTTTATTATTACTAGATGTATCAGTTTGTAGTTTCGAACTGCCTGGCTGCTAAATGTGCTCAGGCTGCATGAGTGTGTCTACCAGCCAGACAGTTCGCAACTACTCGAGGGGATGTGCGTGGCGGGGAACAATAGAATCCCTGGGCTGGACTAACTCGTGCTTTGCGAGGGGGAGGGGGAAGAGGGACAGCACCCTGAGATCTGCATATGTCCGGGTCAGTCCCTCTCCCCTCCCCTGCTGCACCTCTGGCCAGCCCCACTTCCGCCAGCTCCCTACCCCCGACTTCGTGCCCCCCAGCAGCCCTGCTTCCACCAGGGACAATGGATATACAGAATAGCTGGAATCATAGAATCATAGAGCTGGAAGAGACCTCAGGAAGTCATCAAGTCTAGCCCCCTGCCCAAGGCAGGACCAATCCCAACTAAATCAACCCAGCCAGGGCTTTGTTAAACCAAGACTTAAAGATCTCTAGGAATGGAGAGTCCACCACCTCCCTAGGTAACCCATTCCAGTGCTTGAAAGATCTTGTGTAGGAATCAAACTGCAAATAATAGAATGCCAAGTATTTAATTTTGAAGGATTCTTAGTGCCTGACTAGAAGGGAAAGGAAGATGGGGGGGACTGTATGGGGACTGTACCCTGTCTGTGGAGGAAACAAGGGGAAGGATTTGAAAAGGACAAAACTACTTATGCGGGATGATCTCAAATAGAAAATGGGTAAGATTATGGAAAATTTACTTAGAAATCTTCTAAAAATTAGGTTAAATAAAATTATCAGTTTTATTTAGAACTGTTTATTAACTGTGCAAATAATTTACTAATTATTTTGGATGTGTTTGCTTTTAACATTTCTTGGATTTTACCCAAAATTTCTGAAGAAAAGGATAACCAAGTGATGTGATGGAGGCCAAGAAGAGAGTAGGAAATTTGTGTGTGTGTGGGAGAAGCAGCAAAGCAAGTTATTATAGCAGACAGGAAATGAGTCAGAAAAAGGCAGTGATTCAAGTGGAGATCTTGTAGGGTGTGGACATTAGATATGATTAGAGATAAGATTTTGCAAAATGAAACTGCAGAAACAGTTTCTGCCATTGTTCCCAATCTGGAGCAGATCTTCAGATGATGTAAATCAGCATAGTTCCATTGATTTCACTCTGGGTACACTGATTTACAAGAGCTGTGGAATTGGACCACTCTTGTAAAAGAAAGATTTTGTAAAATTGTTGATGTTTTAAAAAATGTTGGCTTTTTACCCTATAAAGTCATTAAGTTACCAGGATAACATTTGTTACTATTTGCCAAATTCAAGATCATATAAAGAAATCTTATTTCTTTGACAGTGTTTTAGTTTAGAAATGTGAGTTAGCATTAGAGTTGTTTAGAAAATAGGACTGTTTTGTGTGGAATACTTCAAATATTCAGAAATTAAAATACTGAACATTTTTTACTGACAACCAACATATTTTAGTTCAAAAATGCTCCTATGGTGCCTCATGAGAATTGTAATTTGGAGGTCTATACTCCTGTTCTCTATAGATTGGGTTCCCTGTTTGGAATATATCTCCCGCCATGGACAATGGTCTTCTCTCTTGGATAACGTAGTACAACATGTGAGTCTATGACCATGCTGCATCATTGGAGTTGACTGTAGCCCATAAACGAACATGGAAACATGAGGCAACACAACTGGAACTCTTATAAGGGTATGTCTATACTTGCAGCCTAATTCGAACTAGGGCTGCAAATGTAGGTATTCGGAATTGCAAATCAAGCCCGGGATTTAAATATCCTGCACTT